ATTATTCATTATAATGACATAATAACGTATTATAATTCATTATAATGTATTATAATCCATTATAACGACATTATAACTAATTATTATTCATTATAATGTCATTATAACGTGTTACAATTCATTATATTGTATTATTACCCATTATAATGGCATTGTAATTTATTATTATTCATTATAATGCCATTATAACGTATTATAATTCATTATAATGTAATTATAACGTATTATAATTCATTATAATGTTTTATTACCCATTATAATGACATAATGATGCATTATAATGTATTATAACTTATTATTATACATTATAACGTATATAATTCATTATTATATCATTATAATGTTTTATAACTCATTATAATGACATTATAACGAATTATAATTCATTATGACGTATAACAATACATTATAATGCCATTATAACATATTATAATACATTATAATGTATTATAACTCATTATAATAGCATTATAACGAATTTATAACTTATTATTATTCATTATAACGTATAATAATTCATTATAATGTATTAGAAACCACTATAATGCATTGTAATGTAAGCCATATAATTTTGTTTAAAATTTGAAAGAATATTTAAAGAAATTCCATAAATATGAATAAATAAACAATTAAATTACACAATATTTTTCTGTGTTTTACAAATGTATAAATCAATTAATTTATAGAAATTACAAACTAATGAATTAAATGGCTTTTAAATTGCTAATAAATTGAAAAATAAAAGTGTTTCTTTCCAATCGTGTTTTTAAATGTTTATCAAATACATTAGAAAAAAATGTCATTACATAGTTTTAAATCATTATCGAACACATCGGAATGTTCAAACAAATCATCATCATCAACAACAACATCATCATTGTCATCAACAACATCATCTTTATTATCGACATCATCAAGATCCTATTTAATGGATTCAATAGCAAAACCAGCAACATGTCGTCGCAGTAGTTTAAATCCCCAGCAACATCTAAATAATTACAATAAAAACAACAACAACAATAATAATAATGTGATAAATGAACATTATAACAATAATGATGGCGGTAGTTGTAATCGTCGTCGTAGTATTAGTATTTCAGATGATATTGGTAGCATGATTGTTGATTTCGATAATGTTGATGCAATTATCAATTATGTTATTAAAATGCAATATATTTGTAGTGAGTATTCAACAAACAATAACACAAATTTCCTTTAATTTTACTGTTGCTTTACAAAAACAACAAAAAATTCCTATTCATTTCCTGTATTATATTATTATTATTATTACTGCTACTTCGTGTTTATAAACATGTTTATAACGGTTAATAGGGGTTTATGTAGTATGTTAGAGAGAGTGTGTGTGTTTGAAACAACAACAATATTTGAAAGCAATCGACCTTTACATGCTGCAAGTTTATTAAGCATGTAAAAGACATGTTCATTAGTAAATTATTAAAAATATAGTAATTATTTATTATTTGAAAATTAATATTAATAAAAATTTAATTGTAATGATTTGCTTCAAGTATTATTTATTGTAGAAAACATTTTTTAAGAATTTTCCTGAGAAAATAATCTTTTCTTTAAATATAAACAGTTTTTGGCAAAATTATGCGTAATAATATAATTATAAACTAAAATTTTTCATTATTGTAGCTTTATAATTAATTGTAGTCGTAGTATAACGTTTTATAACGCATTATAATATATTATAATCCATTATAATGGCGTTATAACTTATTATAATCCATTATAATGTATTATTTTCCATTACAATGGCGTTATAACATGTTATAATCCACTAATTCGGCATTTTAACATATTATAATCCATTATAATACCATTATGACGTATTATAACGTATTATAATCCATTAAAATGGCATTGTAATATATTATAATTCATTATAATGTCATTATAACTTATTATAATCCATTATAATGTCATTATAATTTATTATAAGCCATTATAATGGTATTATAACTTATTATTTTCCATTATAATGGCATTATAACATATTATAATCCATTATAACGGCATTATAATTTTTTATAATAAATTATAATGGACTTATAAGATGTTATAAACTATTAGAATGGAATTATAACGGATTATTTTCCATTATAATGACGTTATAACATCCATTATAATGGATTATAACGTATTATAATAACTTCATAATATATTATAATGCATTAAATTGACATTATAATAAATTATAATCTATTATAATGGCAATATAACGTATAATAATGCATTATAATGTCATTGTTACGGATTATTATATGTTATAATCCATTATAAAGGCATTAATACTGATTTTCTTTAAATTTTTAATATTTTTTCTAAGTTTTCTTTAGAAAACTATCTACTTTTTTAACTTGTGACTAATTTAAAGCGACTCATGTAACTTCACAATACGCAGCTGCTGCTTTAAAACTTTTATTTTAATTTGTTTGCCAAAAATATAAAAATAATTGGACATTCCTTAACTTTATTTAGTTATGACCAAAAACTAAAAACCCAAAAGCCTTTTAAAGCAAAAAAATTAAAAAGAAATAAAATCGAAATTTTAAACATTTTGTGCGTAAGTTTGAATGAAAAAAAATGAAAGGGAAGTAAAGAACAAAATTCTTTTTATTATAAATGCAAATAAATCTTTATAAGTCTAAACAAAATTTAAAACAAACCATAATTTTGGTTCTTTGTTAAAAAAAAAAAAACTAAACATAAAAGACAATGGGCATTTGTTAAGAACACAAAAGCCCCATCAAAAACTATAACACACAGGTGTATTATGTTTTTTAATACTTTTGTTTTTATAAGAAAGTGGTGAAAATTTTAAATAATAATTGTTAACAAATTGGCAATATTCTTATAATAAATGGCAATAAACTAAACAAGTTAAGCAATTTATAGACAAAAACACATTAACCGTTAGAACCAAGCAGGAAGAGTGTTAAAGTTTTATAAAATAAAAGAGAAATTTATATTATTTCTGATATAACTGAGCGAAAATTTGGTAAATCTATAAATGGTTTTGTATATTAAATTACTTAAATAAATCTTAATCTTATTAATTTTGATTTATTTATTAAATAAAAGTTATTAAATTTCTTTAAAATGTTTAATTTGTTTAGAAAACTTTATAAAATTTACTAAATTCAGCTTAAAATGCAGTTTTATGGCCTAACGTTTGAAATACGTTTTGTATTTGTTTACCTTTTGAAAGGTAAAGTAAAGCGAATGTTTTTTTTAGGACAAAATTTGTTAAAATATTAATAAATTTATTAAAAATTATAAAAAAATTGTTTTATTATTCCAATTAGTAATTAATTTTCTTTTCTGGATAGTTTTCTTGGTAATATTCTTTGTTTTTGGCAATTTTTCTTTAAAAAGTTGTGTTTTTTAGCGTTATTTCTTATAACAGCTTGTTTAGCTTTAAAAAATCGTTGTATTAGTTAAAAAAAACGCTATATATTGACACACCCAGTCCTGGCAGTATAAAATGTAAACAAAGAGCAAGCAAATTTGTCAACAGAAAAAAACAGCTAAAAACAAATTAGTTAAATACTTAAATTTCTTTAATATTTTTTAATAAATTATAATATTTCCATTAAAAAAACTTAATTTTATTTAAAATGTTTATTAATTTTGTTGATTTTAAACTATTGTACATAAATTTTTTATATAAAAATAAACAAAGAGAGTAAGAGCAACACAACAAAAAGAAAACAGGATACAATTTTTGTTATTAAAAAGATTTCTTTAATATTTTTTAATAAATTTATAAATATTTTAACTAAATTTTATAATTTTGTTAAATTTTTTTATTAATTTATTTAATTATATACAAAAATTGTAAAAATTTCTTTTGTGAAAAACATAAAGAAAGAGAGCAGCAGACTAAACGTCCTAATAAAACACAAACAATTAAATTTGCTAAATAAATTAAATTGTTTAAAGTTTTTTTATAATTTGCTTAAAAAAAATATAATTTATTTTAAACAATTCCATAATTTAAATAAATTTAACAATTATAAACGAAAAAATCACAACAAAAACCAAGAGCAATGTTGAAAGACTAAAAGAAGTCACTAATTAAAGAAAATTAAAGAAATTTCATGACATTTTTTAATTTATTAATTTTTTAAATAAATTTTATAATTTCTTGTTATTTATTTTAATAATTTTTATAAATTTTGTTGAAAAATTGCAACAAAAATCTTTCACTTTACTTTGTCTCTATAAAAGGTAAACAAACGTCAAACACACTGTTAACGTAAGGCGACAGAACTACTCTATGAAGAGTTTCCTTTTAGTTTTATTACACTTTTCTTAAGAAATTAAAGATTTTTGAGAATTTTTTTAATAAATTAAAGAAAGTAAATAATTTTCTATTAAATAAGCTTTAAATTAATGAAAATTTACATTGTTTAACTAAGTAAAATGTTATTAAATGCTGTAAAAGAAAAAAATTCAGATGGAACTAAGTTTATTTTAGAAAACTAAACTTTTTAAGGTGTTATTTGTTTAAAAGCTCGTTTAAGGGTTAAATGGTCTTTACTATATACAAATGAATCATTTGTAACCACAGCTATTGCCAAATTTAGCATTTAAATTCTTTTCGTTTTGGGGTTTCTTCATACTTTTTTTTAAACAATTCTTTAAAAGGAATTTGTGCAAAAAAAACACATATATTAAATGACTATTGTTACTTTTTTTTGCAATATTTTCTTTATTTATTAAGAAAATTACTAATAACAAACATTATTTAAGTCTATATTATTATTAATTTATAGTTTTTAATATGACAATGATTTTTACAATCACCATAATAATTGCTTCCCTTCTCTACTTTGTGCTGTTTTATGGATTTTTATATTTTCTACAAAAATTTCATCATCATGCTTGGCGTTTTCCTATATTGTTTATGTTTTGTGTGAAAATCTTCATATGGTTTCCTGGAAATGTACAACAATTACAAAACTTTTTAGGCGAACGACCTGCCATTATAGCACCACCAGAAAGTGAATGGTATCATGGACGTCTTGATCGCTATTCAGCTGAATCACGTTTGCGCGGCAGCAGTAAATTGGGAAGTTATTTGGGTAAGTTTATTAATGTTCTTTTTTTGTTTTTCTTTTATTTTTCATAATTAAGCAAAATATTAGTAATTTGTAGAAAATTGTTGAGTATTTGAAAACAAAATCTTTAAAATTCCATATTTTTATGGTTAATTGTGACAAAGAGAGTGTTAATTTGAGAAAAAAGCAGATTTGTCTCCACAACTGAGTGAAATGTAAAAACATTGTTAAATGAACCATTTCCTTAGATTCTTTCAATATATTTATTATTTTTTTAATTAATATAAATAAATTGCTTTAATATTTTACAAAATTTATTTAGTTTTATAAAGTTTTTAGCTAAATTTTCTAGTTGAAAGTCTATCTCTTAAAGAATTACAACATAGAAATTAAGGAAGACCCAAAAAAGCCGAAACGTTGCCTAACGTGGTAGTTCACTGCGTGCGATCAGTCAAGTAGAGTCGAAGATACTTCGTTTTGAACAGACCGCTCTTCTCGTCAGATTTAGTATTATAGAGTGTTAGATCCTGCCTGTAGCCGTGAGAAATCTCAGGACTTTATTAAGCTTATCTCACGAAGGTTAGATATGAAGTAACTGCCAAGAAAGCGTTTTCTCTTAACAGCTAGAGCAGAGCATTCGCAGAGAAGATGGAAGACTGTTGCTTCCTTTTTCCTATCTTTGCAACTGCGACACTGTTCATTGAAGGGCGGAGCCCAAGACGACTTGCATGACTGACTAGCACCCAGTGTCCAGTTATTACGGCTATCAACCTCGATTTATCCGATTACTTCGTTTATACGGTGTCTTGTGCGTTTCTCATTGAAGGAGGACCACAACAACATGCCCCCTATTTTCCCTGAAGAAAGTATCAGACGATAATGCTCTTGATAAAACCTAACGGAGTTTCTACTAAAACGGTGTTGGATATATTCAGAGCAGATCACGTTTTGGCAAGATCATCGACCTGTTCATTTCAATAATAGTCACTATGCACAGGGACCCCAAACAAGGGTAATGTCAGACAAGCAACCCAGCCTTGACAGATCCTTCTTGCATTGTCTGACTGATAGGGAAGTGGTAGTATAAGAATTTAGTGAGAGAAGTACCGCTTGACTATCGACAAAAATTCCTATGTTGCCGCGGATATTGCCTAGTAACCAAATTTCTTAATATTTTTTAATAAATTATTGAAAAACATTAACTAAAATTGTTAATTTCCTTTAAAGTTCGCGGAAAAAAATCTCTCAGAACGTCAAAAAGCAAAACAAACACAATTTTGCAAAATACAACAACTTAATGGATATTTTTTTAATCAATAATTAAATATTTTAATCAAAATTATTAATTCCTTTTAAATTTTTATCAATATTTTACTAATTTCCCAACAATTTATCCCACAAATCTCTCTCATACAAAATGTAAATAAAGAGAGACCAACACACAATCACACAAACATGAAAAAGCTAAACAAAGAAGAATTTGCCTTTTTTAACTAATTTCTTAATATTTTTACTAAATTATCAAATAATTTAACAAAAATTGATCATTTCTTTAAAAATTTTAACAACTTTAACCATTTTAAACTAATTTGCCACCAAATTACCAAAAAAATCTCTTTCATACAAAATGTAAATAAACAGAACAAACACACGAACATCAAAAAGCAAAACAAACACGATTTAACTAAGTAAAGAAACTTCTTATTAATTTTTTTTAATAAATTAACAAATATTTTGACAAAACTAAAGTAGTTAGTTAAAATTTTTAATTAATTTATATATTTTTAACAATTTGGACAAAAAATTTCATATAAAAACTCTTTCTCATAACAAAGAGAGATAGAGGGCAGGAAGGACACTAGCAAAATGTTATAATTGAGCAAAACAAACACTGTTATTGTTGTTTTTAATAATTTATTACTAACTTTAACTAAAATAAATAATTTCTTTTAAGTTTTTAGCTAATTTATACAAATTTGTTTGCATTTTTTTCACTTTTGTTTTCCTTCAAAATGTAAACAATAGCAAAATACAATGTCAGCGTTAGGCGTTAAAACTACTTTCTAAGGAGATTTTGTTGAATTTATTAAAGTTTTAGGGAAAATTGAGAAGATTTTGAAAGATTTTTTGAGTATTTTTATGAAAATTTTTAATTTTTTGTAAGTTAAGCCGGTTTTTAAAGGATATTTGTTGTTATTTTTTAAAAATAAAGGGGTTTAAAGTCAAATATTAAGAGATTTTGTGAATTTTTCTTAAATTTTCATAAAAATAGAAGAGATTTGTTAGTTTTAATAGAATGAGAAGATTTTTAATGTTTATTTGTTATATTTTTTTTAATTTTCTTACTAATTTTTGTATTTATTTTGTTGATTTCGTTTATTTTCAGTTCGTGAAAGTGATCGCAAACCGGGTTCTTATGTTCTCAGCTATTTGGGCCGCACAGGCATTAATCATTTTCGGTAAGTTTTTTTTTTTTTTTTGCTATTTGCTAAAGATCTCTTTTCAATAATTTGCTTCTCTCCTCTAGCATTACTGCCGTTTGTGGTGATTTCTATATTGGTGGCCGCCAATTTATATCGCTTAGCGATTTGGTGGGCTATTACACTTCCTGCAGTGATCTCTTGAAACGTGAACGTTTAGTTTTTCCAGTACCACCACCCGAACCGGTCAATGATAAGAAACGGGTGGTGGCTATTTTACCCTATACCAAAATGCCCGATACCGATGAATTGAGTTTTCAAAAGGGCGATATTTTCTTTGTACACAATGATATGGGTGATGGCTGGTTGTGGGTAACGGCTCACCGCACCGGTGAACAGGGTATGATCTTTAGAGAGCTGGTAGATGATTTAGATCCGGCCATAGATCCCAACACTGTCTTCCCCTGGTTTCATCCGAATTGTACGAAAAATGAAGCCGTTGATATGTTGGTTAAGGGTGAGTTTTGTGAAGAAATTTACTTAATTTCTATTAATTTTGTTATTGTTTCCCTTTAAAGCTGGTCCTGGTAGTTTTCTAGTACGTCCTAGTGATAATTCACCCGGTGATTACTCGCTTTTCTTTCACATTAACAATCAGATACAACGTTTTCGTATAGAGAAAAAGGGCGTACGTTATCTAATGGGAGGACGTACTTTTGAGTGCTTGGATGCTGTCATAAACCGTTATCGCAAAGAGCAAATTGTTGAAGGTCATTGTCTCAGTCATCCTGTGGTTAATGGCTCCCAGCCAGAATTCAATCAACAGTATGTAGTGGAAAAGGCAGCTGAAAAAATTTATGCCACTTTACGCGAATGCCGCGACCAAATTGGTTTAAAGAAAATCAAGGGCATTAAACATCATGGTCACTTGTATAAGAAGTCGGACAAAACCGCCAAATGGAAACAGTTGTATTTCGCTCTTATTAGCGAGGGTTCAGAGACACATCTCTGCTTCTATGACAATCCTAAAAAGACTAAACCCAAGGGACTCATCGATCTCTCCTGTGCTTATCTCTATCAGTGTCACGATTCCTTGTGGGAGCGTCCTTACTGTTTTCAAATTGTTGAAAGAGCTTTGCCCTGTTTGGCCACAGTCACCTATTTGTGTGCTCCTAGTCAAGAGAGTTATGTTGAGTGGATAAATGCCTTAAAGGCTCAGTGTGTTTCACAACTGAGTAAGGCCCAGAAGAAGGTGCCAAGGCTAAGGGAGTTGCGTTGCTTGAATTTACATATATTAGAAGCTCATAGACTGCCATTTAAATTAGTGCCACATCCCTATTGTAGTATTTCCCTGAATCAAGTTAAAGTGGGCAAAACAAAAGTTAAAATTGCTCCCGATCCAGTTTGGGAGGAGGAATTTGTGTTGGAGTGAGTATTTTTTATAAGAAAAATAACACAACTTTCTCTTAATTTCGTTATTCTTTCCTTTATAGTGATGTTCCCCCAGATGTGGTGTCCCTAACCATTACCCTCATCTCACGCGGTAAACGTGGCAAGGATAGCGAGGTAGCCGAACTCACCATAGAACTAGCCAGCTTGAAAAATGGCCAAGAAACCGAAGAATGGTATCAACTCACCGGCATGACTCCCATGGGTGAATGGGGCTCTCTACGTTTGCGTATGCGTTATCTAGATGATCTCATTATGCCCTGTGAAGAATACAGTCCTCTGCAGCAACTGCTGCTCGAACCCGAACTCTATGCGGTCAAGGCTTTGGCGGAACTATGTCACAATGATAGAGTCCCCTTGGCCACCGCTTTACTGCGTGTTTTCCGCCATGAAAAACGTGAAACCGAATTGATACGTGTCCTCTGCCAAGCCGAGATAGCACGAGAAAATGAAACCACTACTCTCTTCAGAGGCGCCAGTTTGGCCACTACCCTCATGGACCTCTATATGCGCACCGAATGCACTGGTTTCCTGCAGGCCGCCGTCTCCGAGACCATACAACGCATTATGGATAGCAAACAGTCGGCTGAATTGAATCCCACCAAAATGGATGTTAACGATGATGCCTGCTCCAATGCTGAGTTCCTTTTACAAATTCTCGATTTGGTTACCCATTCGATATTCACCTCACCCGAGGCCTGTCCTCGTTCGGTGCGTTTCATTTGCAATTGTTTGCAAAAAGCCGTGGTGGCTAAATGGCCCACGGAACGTTTGGTAAGGACTCGTGTAGTCTCGGGCTTCATTTTCCTGCGTCTTCTCTGTCCGTCTCTACTCAATCCCCGACAATTTGGTTTGGTTAGTGAAACACCGCCCACTGCGGCCACACGTTCGTTGATTATGGTGGCCAAGTGTTTGCAGAATTTGGCCAATCTTATAGAGTTTGGTGGCAAGGTAAGTAAAATTTTCCTAGAAACATAATTTGAAGGTTTTTTTTTAAAGTAATCATTAGTTTCGAAAAAACGGTTACTTTTCTTTTAAACAAATTAATCGAAAGATAAAATTTTTTTAAAAATGTAACGAATTATAGGAACAACAAGCGGGTACCCGTGTAAATTTTGCTTAAAATTCAAATTTATCAAAGAATTTTGTTATAATTTTAAATTGTGATTAAAACTAGTTACTTTTTACAAAGTAACCATTATGTTGGTAACCGGTTACTTTTCTTTAAATGCCAGAAATCAAAAAACACGCGGGTAAGCGTGTAAAATTTGCTTAAAATTCAAATTTATAAAAGAATTTTGTTATAATTTTAAATTTTGATTAAAACTAGTTACTTTTTACAAGTAACCATTATGTTGGTAACCGGTTACTTTTCTTTAATTGCCAGAAATTGAGGAAAAAAAGTACGCTAATGTTATAGAAATACAATTTTATTAAATTTTAGCAAAATTTTGTATGAAATAAGCAACGAATTGGAAGAAAAACAAGCGGGTACCCGTGTAAAATTCTCCTAAAACTTAAAATTGTTAATACAATTCAATATATCTTTCAATTTTAAACAAAACTACATAGATTTTGAAAAGTAACCATTATGTTGGTAACCGGTTACTTTTCTTTAAATGCCAGAAATTGAGGAAAAAAAGTATGCTAATGTTATTGAAATAAAATTTTATTAAATTTTGGCAAAAATTTTTATGAAATAAGCAACGAATTGGTAGGAAAACATGCGGGTACCCGTGTTAAATTTGCCTAAAACTTAAAATTGTTAATACAATTCAATAAATCTTTAAATTTTAAACCAAACTACATAGATTTTGAAAAGTAACCATTATGTTGGTAACCGGTTACTTTTCTTTAAATGCCAGAAATTGAGGAAAAAAAGTATGCTAATGTTATTGAAATAAAATTTTATTAAATTTTAATAGAATAAGTAAATAAATCTTTCAATTCTAAACAAAACTACAGCGATTTTAAAAAGTAACCTCAATTTTGGTAACCGGTTACTTTTTTGTAATTTTGAGAAAAGTTTGCTCAAAAGTAGGGGAATATTATTTTAGTTAAAATTTATTATATTTTATAGAAAAAATTTATTAAAAAGTTTAGAAATTTAGCGTAATTTAAGCGGTTACTCGTTTGAAATTTGCTAAAATTATTAATTTCTTCCAAAAATTATTATTATTATTGAAGGATGATTGAAATTATTTGGTTTTTGAGAAGTAACGATTAATTTTGGAAACGGTTACTTTTCTTTAATTTTGAGAAAATTTTGAAAAAAATAAGGGAATGTTATTTTAGTTAAAATTTATTATAATTTATAGAAAATTTTTTGATAGAAACTTCATAAATTAGCGTAATTTAAGCGGTTATTCGTTTAAAATTCAAAGTTTTAAAATTTTTTATTTAAAGAACCGTTTTTTTATATTATTTTCAGGAACAATACATGGAAGTGGTTAATCCTTTTATATTGAAAAACAAAGAACGCATGATAGTTTTCCTAGATCAATTATCTATGATTACAGATCCTACAGCACCGCCCGGCTGGAATTCCGAACAAAATTCTAATCAAAATTCTCAGGATACTGGTAAGTTTAGTTGGATTTATTTTCAATTTTCTCTATAACGATTTATTTTCTATTTCTAAAGGCCGTGAACTAGCTACTCTTCATCATATTTGTGTTTCATATTTACCGGAATTGCAAGAATTATCGAATATACTCTCAATTAAAAAACTAGTTACTGTTACCGATATGCTTACAAAACATAAACTTAAGTATCGTGAAATGATTAGTTAAGTTGGAAAAAACAAAAACGAAACATAAATAAGAACAAAATTAAAGCAACAAAACTTTTTTATATTAAGAAAGACATTTATTATACAAAAAAATATATATAATAACTTTAAATAAAACACGTAACACGTAAAGGGAAAGCTAAAAGAAAAAAAACCATCATCAATAAAGACATCCAAGAATTCTTATTGTTTCTCTTTAAGTTTAACTCTTTGTCTCTTTCCTGTTTTATGTTTTACAAAACCTCTTTAAAAAGTAAACGTCTCAAATGAAGAACAAACAAAAACTCTTATAAAAAGCAACACATTACCAAATAACCAAACAATTCTCTCTCATGCTCTCTATCACTCATTTTTTTAAATAAAAATAATAAAGAGTAAACATGATATTTCTCTCCTATATACTCTATTTATAATATTTAAGGGAATTAACACCAATTTATCACGATTTTTCTTTAAAAAATCGTTTAAAATTTAATTAAAAATTATTATTTAAAATTATAATTCTTGCTCTCTCTCTCTCTCTCTTTAAACAATAAATGAAATAACCATAAAATTAAACCAAAAAACAATCTTTTTTAACACAAAAACTATTCAAATTAATAAAACAAATGTGTGAAAATTCAAATACTTAAATTTATCAAAGTAACCATTAATCGTGTAACCGGTTACTTTTCTTTAATTTCCACAAAATCTGTCGAAAAACTTCCAAAATTGTCTTAAAATTAAAATTCTAATAAAATGCTAATAAAATTTTAACAAAAAAGTGATTACTTATAAGAAATTCAGGCGGGTACTCGTGTCAAATTCATCACAAATACAAAATTCTTTAATTATTTAACTATAGTTTTCAATTTTAAGCAAAACTATATGGTTTTTGAAAAGAAACTATTAATCGGGTAACCGGTTACTTTTCTTTAATTCAAAGAAAAAATGGAAAAAATCTTAAAAAATTGTCTTAAAATTAAAATTCTTAACATTTGCTTATAAAATTTTAACAAAAAAGTGATTACTTTTAAGAAATTTTAACGATTACTCGTGTCAAATTCATCACAAATACAAAATTCTTTAATTATTTAACTATAATTTTCAATTTTAAGCAAAACTATATAGTTCTTGAAAAGTTATTATTATGTTTGAAAAGTAACCATTAGTTTGATAACCGATTACTTTTCTTTAATTCAGGGAAAATCTTAGAAAAATGATTAGAAATGTTATTAAAACAAAATTTTTAATGATTTTCTGTTAACATTTTGTAATAAAAGCGATTACTTTTGATACATATTAACGGTTACTCGTTTAAAATCCAACAGAAATTCAATTTTTTTTACATAATTTTATTATAATTTTCAATTTTAAAATTATATGATTATTTTAAAAGTAAACAACATTATTAAGCGGTTACTTTTATTTAAATGTGGTTACTTTTTTGTAATTGTTAGTAAATTTTAGCAAAAAGTATGCAATTGTTTTTATATATAAATTTTATAATGTTTAAAGCCAAAATTTGTTACCAAAAGTGGTTACTTTCTGAAATACTAACGGTTACTCATGAAAAAATTAGCTTTAAACATAAATTTTTTGAAAAAAATTGCTATAGTTTTCATTGTGTAACTAAACTATGGGGTTTTTATTAAGTAACGACTAATTTCAAAAGTGATTACTTTTTTGTATTTGTCAAAAAATCTTAGAAAAAAGTTCGGAATTTTAATAGAAATAAAGTTTTAGTGGGATTACAGCTAAAATTTTATAATAAAAGTGGTTACTTTTGAGCAATTTTAACGGGTACTCGTTAAAAAATTATTCAAAATTTAAAATTTTTCACACATTTGTTTTAGTTTTTAACCCCATTTTCAAGCCATAAACATAAACAAACTAATTAATTCAATCTTCATATAGTTAAAGAAACTTTTTATGTTCTTTTCTTTTTTATGATAATTTTCAAAGTTTTTGCTAAAACAATTATATATTTAACTATAAATAAACATCTAACAAAACATAAATAATAATAATTAATAATAATACAAAATGAAATATTTAATCCCCCTTATTAAGCTTTTATCAATAAAATTATACAACAATTATATATTTATCCTTAATTAAACTTAAAGTTATTTAAAAAAGTATTCTTTTTAGCATTTTTTCATCTACTAATTAAAAACAAACACAAACTGGTTGCAAACTTTTTTTTATATATATTTATATTATTAATAGTTTTTTAAAACTCTCTCCACAGCCTCTTGAATTAAATGTTTTTAAATGATTTATTATTTTTTGTTTTTACCATAAATTTTATTATTTATTTTAAAATAAAGTTAATTTTTTTATTTTTACATATTTTTTTTTTAATTTTTTTAAATTTGTGTTAATATTTTTTTTTTTTGTAATTGTGAAAAAATAAGAAAAATAATATTAATAATTAAAAGTGTAGTTGAAAAACAATTTTTATATATACAATTAAAATGAAAGAAAAACAAAACAGAAAACAAAAATACATTTTGCATCCTAGTCAAAACAATAAAAAAATATATAAAAAATTTAATGTTTTATTAAAAAAAAATACAGACGTAAAATGACATAAAAAGAAAAAAGTAAATAAAATCTAAAATTTTTTGTAAAAGTTTAATTTTACCAAAAATTTGCTTCAGTAACCGATTAAATTTTCAGGAATTTGTTAACATTTTGCCAAAATTGTTGCACGAAAAATACTATATTTCTTGGCAAATAACATTTCTGCACTTTTTTCCTTGATTTTCTGGCAATTTAAGAAAAGTAACCGGTTTCCAAATGCATCGTTACTTAACAAAAACTATGTGGATTTAATCGTTCATTTTTGGATTCAGCAGGGGATTTTGCCTGAAAGGTGAGTTTTCTGCCAGATTCGTCCAGTTGTTCCCGAGTTTGAAGCGAAAATAAAAAAATTAGAAATTTTGATAAATGTTGGACCTAGGACCCATCATATACTACAACAAAATTTCAAATTTATTTTTTTTTTGTTTGCTTTAATCTTGAAAACCACTGGCAAAATTTAATAAATTCTTATATATTTTCCATTTTAGCTGAATTTTACTCGAGTACCCGTTCTGTTTACTCAAAAATAACCACTTTTATTATAAAGTTTTTGCTAGGAAAACAATAAAATTTAATTGAAATAACATTGCTACTCTTTTTTACAGGATTTTTCTTCAATTAAAGTAAAGTAACCGTTTAAGAAATTAATGGTTATTTTTCGAAAATTATAAAATTTTATTGAAATATGAAAATACTTCCAAAATTATTAAAGAAATTTCAATTTAAGTTAAATTTTACACGAGTACCCATTAAAATGTCTAAAAAGTAACCACTTTTATTGGTTAAATATTATAGAAAATTTCATAAATTTAACTTTTAATAACTATGTTATACTCTTTTTTAACAGTTTTCCTTTATTAAGAAAAAGTAACCATTAATAACCGCTAAAAGTAACCATTTTTATTACAAAATTTTTATAAAAAAATTAATAAATTATATTTCTAATAACTATGTTATACTCTTTTCTAACAGTTTTCCTTTATTAAGAAAAAGTAACCGTTAATAACCGTGTATTTTTATTCAAAATTAAAAAATATTAATAATTTTTTAAAGAAAACTGATTTAGAGCTAAATTTTCCACGAGTACCCGTTAAAATGTCTAAAAAGTAACCATTTTTATTATAAAGTTTTGGCATAAAATTTATTAATTTTACTTTTATACACAAGGTTCATACTCTTTTCTATCATTTTCCAGCAATTAAAGAAAAGTAACCGATTACATAAATAATGGTTACTTGTGAAAAACAATGTCATTTTATTTAAACTTGAAAATTTTAACATAAAATTTATTAATTTTACTTTTATACACAAGGTCCATCTTTTTTCTATAATTTTCCAGCAATTAAAGACAAGTAACCGGTTACAAAATTAATGATTAGTTGTCAAAAATGATGTATTTTTGTTAAAAATTGAAAAATATAAAGAATTTTTTTTAAAGAAAACTGATTTAGAGTTATATTTTACACGACTACCCGTTAAAATGCCTAAAAAGTAACCATTTTTATTATAAAATTTTGACAAAAATATTCTTAATTTCTCTTTTATACACAAGGTTCATACTATTTTCTATAATTTTCCGTCAATTAAAGAAAAGTAACCGGTTACAAAATTAATGGTTACATGTCAAAAACCATGTAATTTTATTCAAAATTTAAAAATATTAAAAAGTTTTAAAGGTTTCACTTTTATATACAAGGTCCATACTCTTTTCTACCATTTTCCGTCAATTAGGGAAAAGTAACCGGTTACAAAATTAATGGTTACTTATGAAAAACCACATAATTATTCAAAATTTAGAAATATTAAAAAGTTTTTAAAGATTTCACTTTTATATACAAGGTCCATACTCTTTTCTACCATTTTTCGTCAATTAGGGAAAAGTAACCGGTTACAAAATATATGGTTACTTGTCAGAAATAATATATTTTTATTCAAAAATTAAAAATATTTATAAATTTTTGAAGAAATTTGATTTTGAGTTAAATTATCCTCGAGTAACCGTTACTTTATTCCAATATTCCATAGATACTAAAGAAAAGCAACCGGTTACCCAAATAATGGTTACTTGTCAAAAAAAATAATTTAATATTTATTGAAAATTGTAAAATATAAGAAAATTATTAAAAAAAAAAAATACTTTTTTTATAAATTTCAATACCTAATAATGTCTATTTATTTTCCAATAAATTGTACTTTTAATTTTACAAAAAAGTAACTATATTTGTTTAATTTTAATCGTTAGAAATAGAGTAAAAAAAAATAAATAAAAAATATTTTATTTAAAAAAAAAAACAAAAAAGTTGCATTTTCACTAACTTGGAGATGCCGGGGTTTGAACCCGGGACTTCTCACATGCGAAGCGAGCGCTCTACCACTGAGCTACATCCCCATATTTGTTTGGAGTGTCAAATGTGTGTTTTGTTTATAGTAGTGGCAGCACTACACACAGAAAATGTCGTAGTAAAGAACAAAACCAATTTAGTGTTGCCAATAACCAAAATGTTAGAACATTCAAGAGGTCGTACTTACACTATATGAAACACCGGCCGCTGCTAGTAATTTCCATATTCTTTTTTCTTTTAAAGTTTGTATAAATACAACGTCTGATGTTGTACTAGAAAACAAACAGTGGCATTAAAGGAAGTGGTAGATGGTGAACGGCAGAGACAAATGAAGGGATGACGTCACCCGAGAGCAAGTTTGACGCGTGCCTATGATGATGATGATATTGTGAGGGGAGGAAGAAGGAGAGATGAAAGTGAAAAGGAAAAAACGCGCGTAAGTACCACACAACAGAAGTAAATAATATATAAAATAAGTAAAATGAAAATAACTGAAGTTCATATTAAATAAACACAATTAAAACAGAAATTAATCGCGATAAATATGTATCTGTTGTGTCTGTCTCTTACCATTGGTAAAAATTAACTCAAATAAATTGTACAATAAAAAGATAAATAATAGTTCAACAACATTTCCACATTCTACCAATACAACACGCAACACCCTCCCCTCATACACAAACGAGAGAACCACCAATTCATGATCATCCCATGACCAACAGGCAAAATCAAAATAAACAACCCCCCACCCAACCCAACCACTTCCGTTAAAGCCTTAAGTATATAAACGTCATCAAATTAGAAATTTGACCAAAAACAGAAGTTTTTCTTTTCCCTTTTTTAGGCGAGATTTTTCCCTCAAAAGACCTCTTTTTTTGCTATATTATAGACTTGACAGTGTATTCTAATGCCTAATCTTTAGACTAGTCAATTCTATAGAGTATAAACTACTCAAGATGGGCAGGTAATGCGACTATCTAGGCTAGGGACTACAATCTGAACTTATTTGACTGTTTTCAACTTGTTTGACTAGTCCACTGCCTGATCTATGGGTAAATACAAAGGATTCTAGTCCAGGGACCAATTTATTGACTAAATTGACTAGTTCACTGCCTAATCTATGGGTAAAAACAAAGGATTCTAGTCCAGGGACTAATTTATTGACTAAATTGGCATGTTTGACTAGTCCACTGCCTGATCTATGGGTAAATACAAAGGATTCTTGTCCAGGGACGAATTTATTGACTAGATTCTAGTCCAGGGACCAATTTATTGACTAAATTTACTAATTCACTGCCTAATCTATGGGTATATTGACTTGTTTGACTAGTTCACTACCTAATCTATGGGTAAATACAAATGATTCTAGTCCAGGAACCAATTTTTGACCAAATGAACTTATTTGACTAATCTACTGCCTAATCTATGGGTAAATACAAAGGATTCTAGTCCAGGGACCAATTCATTCACTAATCTGTGGGTTAATACCAATGATCTGTGATTTTGAAAGTGATATGAGTACACTTTTCCCTATTTTAAGGGATTAATTAATATTAAAAGTATGTAATTGCTCAGGGAACAGGACTATCTAGTCTAGGGACCAACCTATTGACTAAATGAACATGTTTTAATAGTCCACTGACTAATCTAAGGGTAAATACTAATAAAATATTGACTAAATGAACGTGTTTGAATAGTCCACTGACTAATCTATGGGTAAATACAAATGATTCTAGTCTATGGAACCAATCTATTGACTAATTGACTAGTCTACTGACTAATCTATGGACAAATATAAATGATTTGTATAATTTTTAAAGTGGTATTACTCATACATTTTACAAATATTAGGGGATCCTTAAATATTAAATGTATGTAATTAATTGTTCAGGGGGCAGGACTATCTAGTCTAGGGATGAATCTGTACTTGTTTGAATAGTCTACAGACGCATCATATGATGAGACATATTCAGGGGACAGCTGAAGTCGGTTTGAGAATATTGATTTGTCCTCCATTCCTGAACAGAAGGTTAATACTTACACTTTACATTTCTTCTATTGTTCATATAAAACTAAAAAACACATTTTTATTTAAATTTGTATGTAATTCTTTCGACATTATATATAATGTTATTTTATATTTATTTAATGATGATTTTTTTTTTTTTGTTCAATTTTAATGAAAGTTTTATTTTCTACTTTCTTACAATTTTTTTATATGAAGATTTTTTTTTAAAAACTACCATAGGCTTTTGTCTACAAGGTTGTTTATATATTTTTATATAATATATAAATTATCAATCAATATTTGTATGACTATATGACTAAATGCCTTAAAATGTACTATATAATATAATTTATTTAATTATGTATGTAAAAACGCATTTTTGTTTATAGATTTAATATAATAATTGAAGCATTTGTTTGTTTTTGATGTATTTGGTTTAAGAAGTATAGTTAGAGATTGATAGATATATTAGGCAGATATAACTTTAAGCAGATAATTTTTTTTATATATAATTATGACAATTTAAAGGGCCTGTTTAGGGGAGATTTAAATTTTATTTTAAATAGTACATAATATTATAACAAATTAAAATAATTTCAAGTTATTATTACAATTTAAAATGTCTCTTAAAACAAAGATGCTGTTGTTTAGATTTTGTGAAAGAAAATTTATAAAATATTTGTATTTGATTTGAAAAACTGTAAAAAAAAATATTAAAAAAGAAACCTCATGAAAGAAAAGATTATCATTTAAGATGAAATATTTAAAATATTACAAAAATTTTATTAATAAAAGGAAATTATATTTAATTTTTAATATTAATTTATCAATTAAATTTAAATGAAAATATATCACAGGGTTGGTTGGACTTTTTATAAATTGTTAAAGATTATAAATAAAAATTTATGTTTTACAAATAAATAAAAATTTATGTTTTACAAAGAATATTAATATTTTTTCTTTTTAATTTTATAAATTTGTGTAATTTAAATTAAATGAATAAAGTTTTAATAAATCTTTTTTTGTATTTCAAGGAAAAATATTAAAAATTTCTATTAAAACTCTTTGATTTTATTATATTTTATAATAATGTAAAATTTTATTTAAAAATAAAACATTTTGTAGCAAAAAAATTATTAAAAAATTCTGTTTTTTTATTTTTAATAAATTTTCTTTTAAATATTTATCAAAAAAGCGATTTTTTTACATTTTATTAATATTTCCGTTGTTGTTTAAATAATTTCTCCAAATTCCTTTCAAAACAGATTTGTTACTATTTTAGGAAAAGCACCTGTCACGACCAGCATCAATCATTTAGCAACAATTAAAGTACATTAAATTCAGCTCCAAGTAAAACAATTTGCCAAATTTTAATAAACATCTTTCAAGTAATAAATAAACATAATATAAACACAAGTTTGGCGACTTAATGAATAGTCTTTTAGCAACTTTTTAATAGAATTTTACTTTAAACGAAGTTATTCTTCAATCACGTATGATTGCTGTAATTTTTAGCCTAATTTTCTAAATTTTATACAATATCCCAGCTTATTTTATATATTTTTACTTCTTTTTCTCATAATTATTACTTTTATTTTCCAAAATTTTTTTGAGTTTATTTTTGTTCACTTTTTCACTTTCAATACAAATTTTGTTTGGCACACTATTAAAATTTCCATAATTTTCTTCCAGTTCTTATAAGGAACCCTCATCAGCTTCAACCGTAAACGATAGAAATAGACAGCTAGACATTTAAGAGGTTTTCAAACCATACATACAAGCTCTAGTCAGTCTCAAAGAGACTGAGGTTGCAGCCACTAAAGAGAATCTAATAAAATTTCTTACAAGTACCAACAGGTTGCCATGGGAGTCACAAACTCGACTCTACATCGTTCACTTTTTCACTTTGAATACAAATTTTGTTTGGCATACTACTTGTTATTTTTAAAATTTTAATAAATGTATTCCATCCACACTTTCAATAATGTAAGTTCAACTTCTTCAATTTCATACAAATATCGGTTGGTATTATCAGGAACCTTCATCAGATTCATCTGCAAACTATAGAAATACACAGGTAGACATTTAAGAGGTTTTCAAACCTTACATAGAAGCTCTGAACTGTTTCGAAGAGCCACTAAATAGGATCTAATAAAATTTCTTACAAGTATCAACAGGAACTTTCGGGATTCACAAGCTTGACCAGAAAATGATCGAAATATTTAGAAAAACTTTTAAACACTAGGCATACAAGGTAAAAATATTGCCTGTGAATATTTTTCTTACCAAATTATAAAATTCCTTTGAAATCTAACCTCACTTTATAGCAGACAGTTTTCTTTAGCCGGCAGTTGTGGTATGGTTTCTTTCAATTAGCTATATTTTTACTAAAAATTGTTTTATATATATTAAACAATGTTAATTTAATTAATTTTAATAAATTTATACGTTTTTTAGTTAAATTTATTAAACAAACACCTGTTTAGTTAAGTTGTGTAGAAATTCTTATTAGAATTGACGCGCTTTGTTTACTTTTTTCTTATTCTCTGCAGTTTGACAAGCAGTTGACCCAAAAAGTTCTTTAAGACAGAAATTATTTGTTATTTTATCAAAATTTATTATTATTTTAAGTTAAAATTATTAAATTTTTGTGAAATTATACGAATTTGCCAAGTATTCTGTAGAAAAATAATTTTTCTTTTATCTCTGGTTCGTTCACGTTTTTTTGCTTCAGCAGATCTGGGAGTTAGTTATCAATTACTAATTGAAGCAAATAACATATTCTTTGCAAATAACATTTTTTTATTATAGTATATTAATATTTGATCAGAAATTTTATGAAAAATCTTGTAATTACTGCAATTGTTAATTTCTTTTTGTTAAAAATCCAAATAATTTATTTTTTCTGTTTTATTTACTGTTCCTCTCTCTGTTTGTTGTAAGGCAGAGTTGGATGTTGTTCAAAAGAAACTTTATTTATTCCATCTGGGTTTTCTAGCAAACTTTTTGATGTTTTAGTTGAAATTTAAGTAATAATCCTGAAATTTCTACAATTTACAAGTTCCTTTTGTTAAAATATTAAAAAATTAGGTTTTCTTTTTTTTATTACTGTATGTGTGTGTGTGTATCTGCTTGTGTAAAGCAGATCTGGCTGCTCTTGTTTTTATTCGCTGAAGGCCGAAAAAAATTTAAAATTTTTATACATTTTCTGTAGAATTCATCATTAAAATGTTATTTTAACAGAAATTTAATATAAAAAACTGCATTTCTTATAAATTTTCCATTCTTGATGAAAATTTTCTAAGTTCTCTTCTTCTTGCACACTTGTTTTTAGCTAGAGCTGCCAAAGTTTTAACTGCTTTTAATCTCAAATCGGCAATTTAGTTCTTTTTATGTTAATTTTAAACAATTTTATGTTAAAATGTTTTAATTCCTTTAATATTTTATTAAAATTAAACACTTTTTGCAAAATTACTTTTTCTTAAAAACGTGCAAAATTGTTGTTGTGTTTCTTTTATTTGGCCTTTCGCTCTATTTGCAATTGTTTTGCTGCAGAGTTGGGTAGTACTAATTGCCTTCATAGAGCTGGGAGTTAGTAATTAATGTGTTTTAGTAACTAAATGAAAATTTAAGGTATTTTTTTATAATTCCTGTGATTTTGTTTGGAAATCTTGTAATTTTTGTTAGAAATCTTTTAAATAAGAAAAGTTTATTTATTTTCTTTAATAATTTCAGATATTTTGTTAAGAAATTTATTAAAAATAAGGAAAAATAATGGTATCCCAAAATTATGTTAGATTTTTTCTTGAACTAAGCTCTATTTTTGTTAAAAATTACCTAAAATAAGCGAAATTTATATTTTTTTATTTGACCTTTCGACTAATTAATTAATTGTTTATTATTTTCCCCATTAATACAAGCTTTCGGTTAAAATTTTCAACTATTTTCAAGCGTTTAAGTTAAAGCCCTTTAAAAAAATTAACTTTTTTTTTTGTATAATTTTTGTTGCATAATTATATTTAAGCGTTTTTTTTTTTCTTATAATTCTCCATTCATAATTTATTTCTTTTCTGTTGTTTTTAGATATAAATAAATTAATTACATTAATAGTTTTCTTTTCTGGTTGCTTACTTAATTTCAAAGTACATATTTTTTTACTTGGAAATGTTTGTGTTTTCTTTTAAATAAATATTCAGTTTGTTTTTTTGCTAATAATATTTAAACTATAACTAACTATAAACTAGATTTTTAACATAGAAAAACTTAATTTAATTAAACTTAAAGCAAGATATGATGAAAATTTTTTTACAAACAAAATTCTATGTTTTTGAAATTATTTTTTTAAAAAATAATTAAAAAATGCTAAAAATTTTTTTTAAAGAGACAAATTCATATAAATTGCTATATAATAAGTGATAAGTTAGATGATTTTGCTAATAAGACAAAAACAAATAAATTTTACTAACTTAATTGTAAAGAAAAATTAGTAAACATTTTTTTAAAATTACTTAATTCTCGTAAAAATATTATAATAAGTTCAGTCACTATCATCGGTATGGGTAGAAACAAACGATGAGCTACGGTCATGGATTAACATCGATAAAGTTTCTAAACTGCGGCGTACCTAAAATGAAAAAAAAGAAGAAGCAAATAAAATTAGTCATTATTTATTGAATTATTTTAATAATTAGTCATTTTTGTTTGGGGTATTTCCTAAATTGCTTTATGATCCTCTATTTTGACACTTAATTGTTAAATATTTCAGGCCCCCTGTTTATATTTTATTGTTTTCTTTAGATGATTCATGGAGAGCGTCCCATTGGGAAACTCCTGATAGTAATTTTATCAAAAAACTTCTGACATTTATTTAAAACTTAAGGTTTTAAATGATAGTCTAGTATACTATCTATATTGATATCATATGACTGATAACATTTTTTGCCCCTACTGCAAAGTACTTTTCTTTGAAATGGGAAAAATCAGCCATATGATATTAATTTAAGTACAGTGGACGTCCACTAGTACGAATTATATAGTGTCAGGCCCTTTCGTAATACCGAAAAATTCGTATTATTGAACAACACATTTTGTATGTTTAAATTCAAATAATACACATAAAATATTGGATTATATTTATTTTTGTTTTATTTTTCATGAAAAATTACATAAAGGAACAAAATATAATAAATGTGTATTATTTTAAATAAATTTCTTGTACATAAACAGGCATAAAAGGGACATATTTACGTATATGAATTGTTAATTTTGAAAGTATCGTGAGTCCAATGGTTGAAATGAGATATATGTAGAAGGTTTTAAATTTTAATGTTTTTAAAAAGATGTGTGCCAAAGACAATTTGCAATTTACATATGTGCTCTAAAATATATTAAAATGTTCAGATTACATAAAGCTTTTATTAGAAACTTGAATGGAATATACCACAATTCTCTAATTTATAATTTTCTCTTAAAAATTAGAATAGTTATCCTTAAACCCATTGTTTAGAATGTGGAGTCACACTACTTTCAAAATTAACAGTTCATACATACATATGTATATAAATATCATTTTACTTATTAAAAAATCCATCATTTAACATCGATTTGTTTTTTTCAATAACAGCGCTTTTGAGGCTTCAATACTGTTCTCAGCAGAGTTATTGTCGGGAACTAATAAAATACTTTCCTCATTGGCGTTATCATCCAATTTAATTTCTTCTCTTGGATCATCAAAATTCCAATAAAATAAATTAATAACACTAAATAATTGTTGATTTGTAAATAAACATGCAGTAAATTGTGTGTATAGGATTTTTAAAAATACAAAACACTTGTAATAAATACAAAAAAACTTCAAAATTACTGAGCTTAAGGTGAATGATACCGAAATAATAAAATAAAAACATAATAAAAATATGTAAATAAAACCAAAATTCCCATAAAAAATGCGTTATTCGTACTATCGAACAGAAAAATTGTGACTTTATTCGTACTATAGAGTAGACAATGCAACAATTTTGCCATTCGTATTATTGGATATTCGTAATAAAGAGTATACGTACTATTGGACGTCCACTGTAATTGCAATTGAATTTAAGTGTTTATTTAAAAATTTTGAAGAGTTTCTTCAACAATTATCACGTGAGTTAAGATTTTTATAATTGAAAGCAAAATTTCTTAAAAAAATAAGAAATTTTCTTTAAATAGCTAAATAAACTCAAAATTTTCAATAAAACTCTATTAAAGACAATATTTTCTAAAAAATTCTCTTAATTTATCTTAAAAATCTATTTTCTTTAGTTTATTTAATAAAAAAAAAATAGTAAAAGAACTAAAGCTATGTATAAACGCTTGTTGATCTTACAATGCTGTCAGATCTGGCAAATTTTGTATAAAAAACCTAATAAAATACTATATTTTCTTTTGCTTTTCTTATAAAAATCTAAGTTTTTTACTTTATTTAATAAAACTCTGGTGTAAAATCTATAATACAAGCTTTTTCCGCCTAAAGATTACATATTTTAAACTTAAATATCGATTTTTAATGATTTTACTCTAAATAGAAAACGTTGCACTGCAACACAGCAAATTTGACAACTTTAGTTATCAGATAAAATAACGCTAATGTAGCAACACTGTTAAATACCGTTAAAGCGAAAGAGAGAACTAGCAAAGAAAGCTGCCAGACAACAAAATACTCTCAATAAATAACAGGACATTATCCATAGAGCTGCCATACTGAGATTTTGTGTTTCTCTTAAAAAAAGGGCAAATAACGAGAAAATGGAAATTTAAAAGAATTCAAAATAAAAATTTAATAAAAATGTTGCAAATTTTATAGTAACAAAGAAACAGAGCCGGGAAAGGGGATCTAAAGAAAAAAACTAGAATATATAAGAAATCACTTGACCTGTCATAATAATCTAATAAAACAATAACATTTTGCTATTGTCAGCTAAAAATATTGACTGATAAGTTAAACAAATATTATTATGTATTTCTAATATAAATAATGCCTTAATCCCCATTTAAATGTCAAAAAACAACTTGTTAAATAAAAACAGATAAGATTTGTTAGCAAAATATAACAAAAGCTAAATATTTGTGAAAAAATATTAAACAAATTGTTAAAATATATTAATTGTTATAGAAAATATTAAAGATTAAAATATTTTCTATAAACAAATTTTGTTTAAAATAGGTTTTTTATAAAATTTCTAATTCAGCTTACCTTAGCAATTTGTTCTAAATTCGTTTTAAGTATATTCTGAGCTTCTTCAGTACTTTTAAGTTGTAATTGCTTTTGAAAGCGTAAAGCTTCGGTAAATATATCATCATCATTGCCAGAACGCTAAAAAAAAGTTAAAAGAAAACAAGAAATAATTAATTTACAAAAATTCTAATTAATTTAAAGAAAATTTTAAGAATTTTTAAGAAATTGAACAACTTACCCAATTAAATTCTACAGGAGATCGATAACCGCTAGTTTTAGCTTCTATATCTAATATCCGATATAATAGGAATATGGAAAATAATGCTAATAGTAAAGTGAGCAAAACGCCCAAGTAAACCACATGTATTTCAGTGGGAAATTTAAAATGTTTCAATAGCTTCTGACTAACACTAGTGAATGTATTTAAAACGCGCTTAGCTTTAGTACCCGCTGGCGATAAGACGGATGAGGTCATTACCGTTGTGGGCGATGAAGATGTAGAGGGTGTGGGCGTGGAAGTGGCCGATGTGGTCGAGGAAGCACAGCCTGCTATAATAGTTAGTTTATTAGTATTAGTATAAACCTCACCACCATCGGGTGTAGGTTTAAGGGCGGGTTGTTGTTGTTGTAAAACAGATTTGAGACCAATTAAATTAACAGCACCACCACCATTAGAGGTATTGTTATAATGTTCTCCCGTGGCAGGTGGGGCCGAGCATCTGGTGGAAGCTGTATTTGCTGTTAGCGTAGATTTGGCATTTATAGGAATGTCTGAGTGTCTAGTTAAATCGGCAATACTTAAATTCGAACTGGCTACTGAACGCCGCAGTAACGTTTGACTAGTTGTCTCGTTAGTTTGTAGCAGTTTACCGCCACCATTGGCCTGTTGTAGTTCTGTTATTTGGGCGGGACTTTCATTGCCACTTATCGAACAGCTGCTATCATCTTCAATTGAGTATTCTTCGGAGATTTCAATGCTGGCCGGATCTTTGGGTAATATCTCGGGTACACCCAAAGGCGGACAAACACTGCACATGAGACGGAAGGCCGCCTCGCGACTTATGAAACTGCCAAACACATGACGTTCATCAGCGGTGGCCACGCCCACAGCATTTGGTATGATTTTAGCGGTTTTCTCTTTGGAGATTTTTGTAACGGAGGAAGTGGGTATAACAACCTGTGGGAGAGAGTTAGAAGAAATTAAAATTTATAAAAGTTTCAAGCAATTTAGAGAAAATGTATATAATTTTGTGTTATTACTTTTTCATTTTAATAATTTCTTATAAAACTTCTTTGAAAAATGTAATGGAAGCAATAAATTTATTTAATTTGGCCCATTTTTGCTTTAAATTCCTCTTAAACTAAATAAATCTGTCTGGCAACTCTAATGCTTTCAAGAAAACATCAAAAAGAGCAAAAAAATTTTTCTCAACAAAAAGTAACGTTATTTTCATCGTTGCCATATTTCGATTTAAGGCAACAATGTTAAATCAAAGAAGACCATACACGGAGAGAAAAAATACCGTCAGATATAAAAAGGATCGTATTTTCTCAAATATTAAGCGAAAAACATGAAGCAAATTGAGATTTAAAAGGAAACTAGAGGATTTATTTGAAATTTTAAACAAAAAAAGTTTTAACTTATTTTTTATAACATAATGAATGATCATACCTTAGTAACATAACCAAAAACATTTGAGTAAAATGCAAAATGTTGATCTGTTATATAAAGATGTCCTTGCAGTAAAATATCACTGACTAGAGCACAGGAAAAATCTAAAACAAAGAGCAAAATTTGTCATACAAATTAGTGATCAATAGTCTATAGCCAAGTCAATAGTCTTGCCAATAGTGTGGACTATAGTCTAGTCTTTAGTTTGGACAATAAGTCTTGTCTATAGTCTGGACAAAAGTCTAGTCTATAGTCTAGTTAATAATCTGGACTATAATATAGTTTAAAGTCTAAAAAAAGTCTAGTCTATTGTTTAGTCTGAAGTATTCTTTATAAAAATTCTCCACTTACAGTTTATTAATTTCTCATCTTTCGACACCTGAGCAAAATGTCTATGGAACTTTTTTACACGCGAGCTAGATATCTCTTTGCGTTTCTTCTCTTTTTCAGGGGGCGTTGTTGCAGTTGTTGCCGAAGCTGGTGTTGCTGTCGATGTTGTTGTTGATGTTGTCATCGTGACGGTGGAACCATTTGAGGTAGTAGCATTGGCAGCAGCAGCGGCGGCGGCAGCTGCTGCTGTTGTTGATTGCTCATGCTTGGCCGTGCTGCTGCTGTTGCTACTACTGGCGCTGCGACGTGAAGGGCTAATGCTGCGCAAACTCCCCGAGGTATTTAGCGAGGGTAGGGGAGTTAGTGAGGTGGGACTATGTTTGAGGGATCTGGAAAGAGGAAAAAGATGAATTTTTAATAAGAAGAAATTTGATAATATATAAAAATTTATTAAACATTTTTAAATTTAATGGAAATGCTATTTATCACCATAATTTTTAAGATTTTTATTATTTATTTCAGATTATAATTACCATAAATTCCATAATTTTGTTTAAAATTAACTAAATTTCTTCATTTTATGCAAAAAGTGTTTAAAACTTGAGTTTAATACTAACAAATAGCAAATTTGATTGAATTTTAACGGTTTTTTACTGAAATCAAGATGGCAACATTAAAACAAACTAAAATACCCTTTTATACACGTGGCAACCTCAAAATAAACTGAATTTCACTTTAATCCTGTCACTCGCTCTCAGTAGTCATTTACAGCAGTGATGACAACTGTGTTATATTAGAAAAAGCTGTAAAATGTACTAAATGTTTAAAATAAGTAAATTTTTGTAGAAAAATAGTAAAATATGACAAAATTTAATAATTTAAATTTTATATTAAGAATATTTTCAACTATTTGTTTATAAAGAAAGTAAATAAGTCTTTAATTTAAAGAAAACTATTAATTTTTTTAGAAATTATTAGAAAACTAAAGGTTTTTAATAATGTTTTAAAGAGTTATTGTTATAATCATTTAAAAATAATGTAAAACTTTAGCAAGTCATTAACACCTGTGACCAGAGAAAAATTTGTTAATCAATATTTTAGAATTATTAAACTCATATGACTCATATTATCAGAATAAAAACTCAAGTAGACCTAAAAAATATGGTCAGAAAGAAAGATAACACTATTAATGACATAAATAAACTAATAATACGTTAAATTAGTTAATAAACCTAAATTTTAAGACTTAGTAAAAAATATGACTTAATTTGTTAGAAATGGCAAGAAAATCATAAAAAACGTGATACAAATAAAACAATTAACAAAAAAGGAAAACTTTAGAACAATTTCAAAGTAAACAAAGTTATAAAATAAACATTTTTGGCAAACCAAGTAAGCAAAGCACGTGTTTTTTTTTAACAAATTTTCTATAAATAAAAAAAATACATATTTATAGTATTTTTTTTTAGCAAATTGTAAATAATTGTTTAAATACCGCATGGAGTATAAAATTTTGTTTATAAAATTTATAATATTTTTAAAAATCTTATCAGTAATTTTGGCGTTTAAGTTGTTAAACAATTGATAAAAGCTTAAAAAATTATGGCGTGCTTGTCTTTTTAGATAAAATAAAGTAGGATTTGGTATAAAGAAAAAAAATTTATTAAAACAAAATAAATTTATTATTTTATTTAAAAATATTTTTATTTATACAAAAAATTTTTAAATTTCCTAGAATTTTTTACTAAAATTAAAAATTTTCTTTTTAATTTGTAATTTTTCCTAGAATTTTGTTTTAATACGCATTTATTTCATTAATAATAAACGTGTCTATTTTACACATTTCCTTTCCAATAAATATTATTATTAATATTTATTTATTGCTTGTAAAATTTGGTATCTTATCTCTATATATTCCAATAAACAAAACAGCTAATAAAAAATTTACAACTTTTGTAAATTAGTTCTTTTAGTTTTGCTAATTTACGAGGAACAAAAAGCTAATAAATCCATTTATTTGAAAAACTAAGTTGAAAAGAAAAATACTTGAAAACCAATGATTATTAAAGTAAACAATCCTAAAAATTATTAAAAATTGCAGTTTTTAGTCTCAATTTTCAAAATCACTTCATATTTTAAACAAACTATCAACATAAACTGCTTTTTCAATCAAACATAGTTGGCATCACTGCTGTAAATACCCTGTGAAAGCGATTAACAGGATTTCAAAGTTGCCACTTAGTTGAAAAGGAAATTTGTTACAATACAGTAATGCCTATTGTGTTAAAGTTGAAAATCACTAAAATTTGTTAGAATTTACAAACGTTTTAGTTTTAATGGCTTTTTTCCTTTAAATTCTGTATTAAATTTACTTTATTTTGAATTTTAATCATTTTCTTTAAACATTATCTTTAACTTTAGTTAATTTGTAATAAAATTTATGATTTTTTCCGTCGAATAGATGTAAAAAAGAGATAATGTGTTAAAAATTGCTAGATAATTAAAAAGTAATTTTATTGTTTCAATATAAAAAAAAAATTGATAAATTTTGTAAATGCAAGCAATTAAATAAAAATTTAATTATATTGGTCATATGATGTGTGTTCTAAAGGGTGTTTAAAACTGTTACTAACATAATAATTATAAAAAGACGATGAAAACAGAACGGGGTTGAAATTACGTCATTTAAAATCGAACGATATCTTTATGGAAAATCGATATTGAACGCAGTTTTCTTTTTCTATAAAAATAAAAATTTTTCTACAGAAAAATTTTATATTAACTGTTTACTTCAGCATAAATGATCTGAAAAATCTCGATATAACAGTTTTTTCTAAAGAAAACAGTTCAGTATAACAGTTCAGTTGAACTGAAACAAAGAAAATTCTCAGCATAAGAGTTTTTCAAAAGAAAATTTTCTGTTTAATAGGTTTTTTTTCAGAAAAAATCTCAGTATAACAGTTTTACCTAGAGAAAATTTTCTGTATAACAGTTTTTTTCTAAAGAAAAATCTCAGTATTACAGGTATTTCTAAAGAAAACTCTTTGTATAACAGTTTTTTTCTAAATAAAACTCTCTGTATAACAGTTTTTTAAAGAAAAATCTCAGTATAAGAGTTGTTTCTACATAAAATTCTCTATATAACAGTTTTTTAGAGAAAAATCTCAGTATAAAAGTTTCTTCCCAGAAAATACTCTGTATACAAAATTTTAAAAATAAAATGCTCAATATAACAGTTTTTTCAGAAAATTCTTAGTATAATAGTTTGTTCTAAAGAAAATTCTCAGTATAAAAGTTTTTCTAGAGATAACTTTGTATAAAAGATTTTTATAAAGAAAATTCTTTGTATAACAGTTTCTTTTAAAGAAAAATTTCAGTATAAGAGTTGTTTCTAAATAAAATTATATGTATAACAGTTTTCTCTAGAGATTAATTTCAGTATAACAGTTTTTTTTTCTAGAAAAACTGTATAAAAAAATTTTATAAATAAAATTCTCAGTATAACTGTTTTATCTACAGAAAATTCTTAGTATAACAGTTTGTTCTAAGGAAAATTCTCAGTATAACAGTTTTTTTCCCAGTGATAACATTGTATAAAAGATTTTTATAAAGCAAAAAAACTGTTATATAGTGATTTTTAAAAAAAATTCTGCATAACAGATGTTTTTTCGAAAGAAAACTCTGTATAACAGATTTTTCGAAAGAAAATTCTCTTTACAGTTTTTTTTAAAGAAAATTCACTGTGTAACAGTTTGTTAAAAAAAATACAGTATAACAGTTTTTTCTAAAAAAAAACTCTGTATAAAAGATTTTTCTTTAAAAAATCTCAGTATTTTTTTCTAAAGAAAATTGTCTGTATAACAGTTTGTTTTAAAAAAATTCTCAGTATAACAGTTTTTTCCAGAGAAAACTTTGTATAAAGGATTTTTATAAAGAAAATTCTCAATATAACATTTTTTTCTAAAAAAAATCCGAAGTATAACAGATTTTTTTTTAAAAAATCCCTGTATAACAGTTTTTTATAAAGAAAACTGTATGTATAACATATTTTCCTAGAGAAAACAGTTTTTATAAAAATTTACTGTAAACCATTTTTTTCTATAGAAATCAGTATAAAAGTTTTAGAAATTTCTGATTATAACTCTGTTCTCTAAAGAAAATTCTCTGTATAGCAATTTTTCCCATAGAAAAATCTCTGTATAAAAGTTTTTTTATGACGAAAATAAAACTTTTATTTTAAAATTTGTGAAATGTCCCTTTTTTCGACAAACATTCAGCTTCAGCTTTTAAACATAGTCTGGCCGCTTTATTTTCACTTTAAGCTCTACTTTTTCCATCTCTGACATTGATTAAATGCAAACTGACTTGCTACAGAGCATATTTAATAAGTGGCAACACTGCTAATTGTTATTCCTTTTTTGCAACTCTTTCTATAAACCGTTAGGATAAAATGTGATCGCACTCTTTTAATCAAAGTAAACTAAATTGATTTGTATTGACTATTTTCAATCTCTACTTACTGCATAGAACTAAATCGGTGTAAATTTGAACGTTTACACTCCTCATTGTGTACGGGTGATAATTCTATCATAGAAATACGATGATATTTCTTTTCAGCACTCGAACGACGACTATTCGGTTTAGAATTGTTCGATTTATTACTTTGATTATCTGGTCCATTTAAAGACAATTCACTAATATTATGTCTGTTATAATTTTGAAAATTGTTACTTATGGCAGATAAATCTAACTTAACATCCACACGATCCTGTTGTTCTTCGATTACAACATCTTCATCTTCTTCATCCATTTCCATATCAGTGATATAATTATTAAAAATTAAATTTTCAAAAGAAGCTATATCGTTTTCATTGCGTGGTTGAAAAACACTTTTAGCACTTTCCACTAAAGTTGTCAAAGTATCATAAACCATTTTGACATATCAATAAATGTTAGGTAAACACACTCGCGAATTAAATAATGACTGTCGATACACACCCACTGTTTTTTAAACAACTTTTATAAGTTAAATAATTTAGTAAATTGTTAGATTTTCTTATTTATTGCAAAAATATTTAGTTTTTTAGGGGGAAATATCAAATTTTCATATGAGCTTTCATTTTATTGGTTAACAATTTTTCGTTTTTATAAATTTTCCTTTTGTTTTGGAATATTTTCGTTTTAGTTTATTAATCTGTTATTATTAATATCAGTAAACCGTTTTAAATGCTAGTTACTCGCCAACTAAATTTTGTTTTTAATATTAAAAGCAGCGTCAGCGTTGGCCTTTTTTTCTGCCGACGTATCTCAGTTAAGCTTCTTCAATTGTTTGTGTTTATTATATTATAAACAGAGATGGAAAATTGCATGTAAACCAACTTTCAGTAATAAACTTTTTTAAAATTTTACAACAGAGTTTTCTTATACTAATGTCTCCCTAATAAACTCTTATTTTTATAAAATTTCTTTAAAAAATATCAAAATTATTCTTTAAATGTTAAATTTGTACTGATTTTACAAACTTTCCTTTTAAATTACAACAAATTTAACAGTTTTTCTTTTAAAAATTGTGAAAGATTATTTAAAGTTTGCAACACTAATGACAACATTTAAAACAAACAGAAGAGTTGCCTTATGCTGTAAAAGGATACAAGAGGTTGCCACAACAATCAGTGGCAAAAGTGATGCCCATCCCTGCCTTTAATTTGTAATAATAATACAATTGTTTTTGTTTTTACTGCAAACAATGGATTCCTGTTGTTTAGTTTGAATTTGTTGTTATTGTTTTTGTGTTTTTATTATTATTATTATTAGTATTTTGTTTTGTTATCAGTCGCCTTATCACAAACCATTTTTTGGCTTTTGTGGAGAAGGCGCAAAAACAACACAAAATTTACGGTGGAAAAAGTAAATAATAACAGGAGAGCTTAGGGGCGGGAGAGAGGGGGGTGGTGGACATAAATAAATACAAGTAAAATAAAAATAATATAGAAAAAAAATGTGCATACGTGAGAATTGAGAGAAAAACAACAAATCAAATAAATTTTACTAAAAGGTTTTTTATAGATTAACCCCTTAAAAAGGGGGAGCAACAAGGAGATTCCAAACAAAAGTTTTCATAAAAAAACTATTACACAAGAAGTTTCCTAAAGAAAAAACTGTTATACAGAGAATTTTTAATAAAAAAACTGTTATACTGAAACATTTTTATAGAAAAAGTGTTATAATGGTATGTTTAATTACAAGAATACTGTTATACTGATAAATTACTGGAGAAAAACTATTAAACTATGAATTTTCCATAGAAAAACTGTTACACTGAAAATTTTCCATAAGAAAAACTGTTATACTAAGATTTTCTCATAAGAAAAGCTGTTGTACTGATAATTTACTAAAGTAAAACTGTTATACCAAGTATATTCTATCGAGAAATGGTCTGATACTGAGATTTTCTATAAAAAATTGTTATACTTAGAATTTTCTATATAAAAAACTGTTATACTGGGAATTTTCCATAAGAAAAACTGTTATATTAAGAATTTTTCATAAGAAATGCTGTATTACTATCAGTATAACTTTGTAACTTTACTAAAGAAAAACTGTTATATCAAAAATATTCTATTGAAAAATGTGTTATTCATAGAATTTTCTATAGAAAAAACTGTTATACTGTAAAGTTTTTGTAAGAAAACTGTTATAATATTATTTTGTTAAGAAAAATCTATTATACTGAGAATCTTCCATAAAGAAAAACTGTTATACTATGCATTTTCTAAAGAAAAACTGTTATACTATGAAAGAGAAACTGTTATACTAAACAGGAAAAACTGTTATACTGAGTATTTTTTAGAAAAAACTGTTTATACTGCGATTTTTTTTAAAGAAAAAACTGTTATATTGAATTTTTTATAGAAATACTGTTTTACGACAGTTTTCAGTAAAATCTTCTTGAGAAAAAACTATTATACTGTGAATTTTTATAGAGAAAAAACATTTATATTGAAATTTTTTAGTTGAAAAAACTGTTATACTGTGATTATTTTAAATAAAAAACTGGTATATTGATAGTTTTCTGAAAAAAATGTTATACTGAGATTCTTTTTGAGAAAAACTGTTATACTGTGATTTTTTTAAGAAAAAACCCGTTATATTCAGAATTTTTGTAGAAAAACTGTTAAACTGTGATTTTTTATAGAAAAAAAACTGTTATACTGAGCATCTTTTTTTGGGAAAAAACTGTTATACTGTGATTTTAAAATAAAAAACTGTTATATTGAAAATTTTATATAGAAGAACTATTATACTGCGATTCTTTTAAAGAAAAAAACTGTTATACTGATGGTTTTCTGCAAAAATCTATTATACTGAGAATGTTTTTGAGAAAAACTGTTATACTGTGAATTCCTGTACAGAAAAACTGTTATACTGATAGTTTTCTGCAAAAAATTTGTTATACTGAGAATCTTTTTGGGAGAAAAACTGTTATACTGTTAATTTTTGTAAGAAAAAAATGTTATAATGATGTGGAAAAACTTTATATAATGTTGAAAAACTTTTATACTATGATTCATTTAAAGAAAAAACTGTTTATACTGAGAATTCTCTTTGGAAAACTGATAACTTCCTGTAGTATAATCTGTTGTACTATGAATTTTTTTTTTAAGAAAAAACTGTTGTAAAGTAAATTTTCTTTACAAATATTATTATACTGAGAATTTTTAGAGAAAAACTGTTAGGTCATGAATTTTTTGGAGAAAGAATTTATAATGTGAATCTTCTTTTTAAAAAACTGTTATACTGTGATTTTTTTTAAAGAAAAAACTAATATTGAAAATGCTCTACAGAAAAACTATTATACTTTGATTTTTTTGAAGAAAGAAACTGTTATATAGAGAATTTTCTTTAGAAAAACCTGTTATACTTAGAAATTTTCGAAGTGAAAGCTGTTATACTGAGTATATTCTTAAATAAAACTGTTTATATTGTGATTTTTCTTTAAAAAAACTATTATATTGAGATTTTTTAGTAAAAAACTTTTTATTTTCTTTCAAAAACTGTTATACTGTTAATTTTTGGTTTAAAATTTTCTTTAAAAAACTGTTATTATGAGATTTTTTAAGAACAAACAGTTTTCTTTAGAAAAAACTGTTATATTTCTTTGAAAAACTGTTATACTGTTAATTTATGGAATGAAACTTTCTTAAAAAACTGTTATACAAAGATTTTTTTTTTTTGGAAAAAAACTGTTATACTGTAATTTTTTAAAGAAAAACTTTTATATAGTTAATTTTCTTAACAAAAAATATTATATAGAGAATTTTTTAAAAATAAAATTAAGTTCTTATTCCAAATTGGAAAATTTTAAAAATATTTCAGCAAATTTTTAAAACTTTTATTCAAATAAGTGTTTTCGTATAAAAATTTTGAAATTTGTTTCTATTTTGCGTTTTCTCTCTAGATTTATGGCTAAAGCAAAAAAAATTCTTTAGTCTTAATTACTGTCTATATATTCCTTAATCGATATATTGATTTTTTAGGTTTTAAGTTTATTAAAATATATATAAAAAATCTCTTGAGGTTTTCCTATTCCCTAACTAAATTTTAATGTGTGTTGAAGCCAGTTGTTAGGGGGTAAAAAAACGCATTAAAAACAATAATTCTTAAAAAAATAATATAGTAGCAGAAAAAAAACTAAAGATAATATTGAAAGCAAAAAAACAGCATATGAAATTTTTATTTTCGCACACCTGGTGTTTTTCCAAAAGGCCGTTTTTAGCTTATCATTTAAACATACATAATTATATTTAAAAAAAACCTACTTAATGTAGAGTAGACCCTTTAACATTTTAAATATAATTTATTGTTTAAAAAAATATGGCAAAAATTATAGAAACTGTGTCGAATTATATAAAGAAAATGTCTTGTTTTTTAAGCCTAAAAAGAACAGGTGTTCTTGTTAAAAAAAAATCTGTCAATTTTTATAACAATATTGTGAAATGTCATAAAATATCTATATATATATAGAAAACATTATCAGTTATTTGGCTTTTAATACAACATAACATGATAATCAGTAAAGATTTAGCAAAAAAAAAGAGGGTAAAATTAGCAAAATGTGATTTGAAAACATGAATGAATTTAGAATTTTGTGAAAAAATAAAGAAATTTATAGACATTTTATTTAAAATTAAAATAATAAAATAAAACATCAATTACTCTCAAACAGAAAAATAAATTTGTTGAATTTTTCCTTAAGGTTCAAAATGAACTCATTGTTTTTGTTTAAAACTTTTAGATTTCGTGGTGACATATGTATTATTATAAATCTGTAATAATTCATTCAAAATGAAAAGTCTTTTGGGTGAAAATCGTTTAAATTAGCTTAACAGCTGTTTTTCTCTAGGGTTTACATGAATCTGGCAGCTTTATTTATTTTCCTGCTTCTTGTCTTTAACAAAACATTTCCTCGGGCAACATAATATTTGCTTAGTTACTACTTGAACTATCCATCTATCTATCTATCTATCTATCTATCTATCTATCTATCTATCTATCTATCTATCTATCTCTATCTATCTATCTATCTATCTATCTATCTATCTATCTATCTATCTATCTATCTATCTATCTATCTATCTATCTATCTATCTATCTATCTATCTATCTATCTATCTATCTATCTATCTATCTATCTATCTATCTATCTATCTATCTATCTATCTATCTATCTATCTATCTATCTATCTATCTATCTATCTATCTATCTATCTATCTATCTATCTATCTATCTATCTATCTATCTATCTATCTATCTATCTATCTATCTATCTATCTATCTATCTATCTATCTATCTATCTATCTATCTATCTATATCTATCTATCTATCTATCTATCTATCTATCTATCTATCTATCTATCTATCTATCTATCTATCTATCTATCTATCTATCTATCTATCTATATCTATCTATCTATTTATCTACCTACCTACCTACCTACCTACCTATCTATCTATCTATCTATCTATCTATCTATCTATCTATCTATCTATCTATCTATCTATCTATCTATCTATCTATCTATCTATCTATCTATCTATCTATCTATCTATCTATCTATCTATCTATCTATCTATCTATCTATCTATCTATCTATCTATCTATCTATCTATCTATCTATCTATCTATCTATCTATCTATCTATCTATCTATCTATCTATCTATCTATCTATCTATCTATCTATCTATCTATCTATCTATCTATCTATCTATCTATCTATCTATCTATCTATCTATCTATCTATCTA